TTCAAGAAATAAACACTCTCAAGGACCCAGGCCCTTCCATTCCACTCTCCTCAGACTGTTGGCCTTTGTCCTTAAGCTGTTCACCTTGTGGTCACAAAATGACTGCCATCGCTCCGAAAAATCACATTTAAAAGCAACTATTTTCAAACACAGCAAGCAAGACAACAAGGCAGAAGAACTCACCTCCCATCTCTCTCTCTCCTACTTTCTCATGAAGTAAAGCTTCTCCAGAAGCCGTTAGATGGCTTCCCTCTATGTCTCCTCAGTCGGGAAGGACTTTGCCACATGGCTAAAGGAGTTCCAATGTGTGTACAAAAGAATATTTCTAAGCACTTGCAAAGCTGAGTGAGTCTACCAGAAACTGAAAAAATTCTTCAGTTTTGGAAAATTGATTATATTAAGTTGTATATATTTATCTTCACTTTTCAGAGTTTCTCCAATGGTTATCTTTTAAAAATTCCCCCCCCAAAAAAAGCTGTTTGGAAGGGACCAGCAACACAAAAGTACGGTCTTGGAGAGACAAAAAAAGTCAGTACTTATTTTGAATAGCTCGGTGCAACGGGATAGGTACAGGAATCAAAAATCTGAGAAGTATGAAAAAACTTAGAGGGAAAGACCAGAACAGCATTCTAAACTTATTTAGGTATTTTCTCTCCAAAACATTTTGAGTACATTATTTACGTGATTCTATGTAATACTAACATCAGTCTACGAAATATTTAATTGAAGGAAACTTGCAAAATCTCACAAAATTAAAATATATAGCACCTCATTTTTCTAACACTAATTATGTATTTATACAAATAGTTCAATAAAAATGAAGACATCAAACAAAAGGTGACCTAGGTAGTGAATGGACACAGTTCACTGGCCCGCATTGAACTAACTAAACTATTTACCAACTTACGTATATCATCATATTCTTGGACTAGGTTTTGGGGGCCACATGGGGAAAAATGTAGGTATAAATATTGAATAACCTATTTCAGCAATACTTTATGACCTGGGTAGAGTTGATATTGATTTGTTTTCATTATTTATTTAACTATAAATGAATGTTCTGTGAACTTTTCAATAATGTGTTATGTTTGATGGTAGAATTAAAAAAATCAGTATTTTCAGTACATGACATATAAACATAAATCATTTATAACTCAAAAATTATATTTACACTGAGAACAGAATTGTGAATATTTACTTATTAGATAATATTTGCAGAAAAAATGTCTTCAGAAACCTTCCGGAACGTATTTTTCTATCAGATTCTGACAATGAAAGAGTCAGAAAAAAGAAAAACAAGCCTGTCTTTGACATGGTGAAAGGGGTATTCCAGGAGCAAGTCACTATTTCTATTTGAGAATTTGCCATGAAAGTCCCCTTCACTTGCAAGGACAGAAAAAACCATATATGAGCTCCAGAACAATCGTTTGACCCAAATGAGAATCTATTCCTATCCCTGTAGCTCTGGGAAAATTGATTAGAAGAACAGAAAATACTCTCTCTCCCGTGATCTCTTTCCAAGCAAAAGGAGCCCTCCAAAGGTAGAAATTAGGGAGCCTGTGTTTCTGTCCTGGTCACAGACCTGCCATTGGATCCTTGGAGACTCAATGTGCTACGCACTTTATAATTTCACGCCAGGAGTTCCTAATCCCCAGGGCAGAGGAATGAGTGCCTCCCTCTGTCGGTTCCTTCATCATCCCTGGAGTCCATGCACAGGTCTGTAAAGGAGGAAGGTCTGGGGCATGGTCACTTGCCATTTCTAGCCTTTCCAAAAGCTTCTGGGACTGCAGTAGTAAAATATTAAATCATGGTTTTAGCACTCTCCGTGCTTGTGGATTCACCTACCCAAAACAGAGTGGTAAAGAGAGCAGTAGTGGACCCTCAAGTCTGAATGAGTTTAAAAGTCCTTACGTGTGAGACTGCAGACTGTGATACAACTTCTTTGACCTTGTATATATATATTTGCATCTCGTTTTACCTATGCATATCACTAAAATGAGACGAGTAAAGGAGCAGTATATAAGGTTGTGGGGGATTGAATCAATGAACTCACATAAAGTATGTGCACAAACATACCTGGTGCATAAAAAGAGCCTGGTAAGTGTTAGAACCCCTCCCCCTGCCCCTAATCCACACTCATTATATTGGGTTTCTCAACCTTGTCACTACTGATACTGTGGACTAAATCATTCTTTATCGTGGAGATGGTCTGTGAATTACAGGCTGCAAGGAACCCTGGCCTCTGCCCATTAGATGCCAATAGTGATCTCACCTCACTGGTTGAAGCAATCAAAATGTTCTCCAAACACTGGCATATGTCCCTGGAGGGACAAAGTCATGTATTTTGAGAATTGCTGATATACATGTAATAGAAATCTGAGCAATGGTTACCTCAGGTGGTGGACAGGGGTTGGCTATTGACTGGAAGGTTCAAGAGTGGAATTTATGAGATTATGGAAATGTCCCCTAACTTTTTCTGGATAACTAAATTAGCTAATACCTATGGAAAAGCCATCAAATGGTATACTTCATATTTGTATATTCTACTTTATATCAATTAAACATCATTGAATAAAATGAAATACAATGAGGCCCAAGGGCATGAGACACTCAAGGGATCAGCTCAAGGCAATGACGCGACGGGGTTATTACAGTGGCTATGGGGTCTTGTCCACCTGACTATACATTTGGGGGCTGCAGCAAGTACAGATCATTTTCATGTACTTATTGGCTATTTGCACACCTTTCTTAGGGATGTGTCTGTCAAATCATCTGTCCACTTATGAAAAGGTCCTTTTATCACTGAGATATAATTATTAAGTTGTTATATATTCTGATACAGAACCTTTTTCAGATGTAAGTGTTGCAAATATTCTTCTAGTCAGTAGCTGACCTGTGAAAAATTTTCTGGTAAATGTCTTTTCTAATTTAAATCAAGTTCATTTTGTCTTTTTTCTTTCTTTAGTGCTTCCTAGCACCTAAGAAATCTATAATTACACCAACATAATTTTCTGTTTTCTTCTAGAAGATTTATGTCTCTTTTAGGTATATGTTTATGATGCTTTTAAAATTCATTTTTTTGTGTATGGTGAGAGGTAGAGATCAAAGATCATGTTTTCCTCATGAATAGTTAGTATTCCCAGCATTTGATCAGATGTTCCTGTATCTATAGAATTACTTCGTTCCAAAGTCAAAACTCAATTGGCTATTTGTGGAGGATTTTTCTGAATATTCTATTGTCCCAAGGATTTATTTTTCTATCTTTACAACAAACCCAATCTGTCTTGATTTTCAAACCCTAAAACTAAGTGTTAAAATCAGGCAGTGTAAATCCCTTGTGTCATATAGAATCCCTCTAGCAGTAGATGCCAACAAACAAATCCACAAAACATTCATTGTGGTAAATGCCTGTGAAGGATAAAATAGGAGCTAGTGAGAGTCAGTGATAAAGGCCTTCAGACCAGGATGAAAGTCTGTCACCTGACAGAGAAATTGAAGGAAAAACTAGGGAGGAAAAATCTGACCATAGTGCGGTCCCAAAATGTTTCTGATAGAAAGTCCCTAAGCGGATTGCCTATCAGAAGAGGCTTGTGTTACACAGAAATTCACCAGCTAGTGCATGACCGACCATGGTAATCCTCTAGCTGGGCACATGGCCGAGTGAGCACGGACCCTGAACACCATGGTGAATCCAACAGACTATCAGCATTAGACGTCCAGTGAGGGATGCTCCCTGCAGGGGCTTCTCTTGAAGGGCAGTTAGCAGCACCTCCCTGTCTGCTAACAATCTACTTACAAAAAGAAACTATATCCCCAAATTCTTTCTGATTCATCACTTATTGTTATCCATAATTGTTTTATTAATCACTTTTACATTATATTTATTAATGTTGTTAGTCAAACTAGATAATCCACTTGTACAGGTATATCTTGTCCCCCTACTTTATTTTATGCAGTAACTATACAAAGGAGAAAACTACTGCACAAATAGGAAAATCAGAGGAGAAAAGAATGTAGTCAAATATATCTATTGTCAAATGATGAGACAAGTTTTAAATAAATTTGCAAAATGTTGGTAGGAATATAATTATTAGCACACACATATTTCGTGAAAAACCTCATTGGATAAAGAAAATAATGGCTAAAATATTCCTCCAACGCGAGACATACTGTATTCCTTTAAGTGATAAATAATAAAATTTATATGAAGAACTGTATGTTCTCTTTCAACATATTTAGTATCATTTTAGAAAATAACAAATGCAAATTTTATAATACCTTATTAGAACCATAAAATACTTATATAATATTCCACTAATTATTGTCTCTTATGATGGTGATTCTTAATGAATGCTAGAGTTATATGTATTCTCTTGAATATTAACTACATTGTGCTCACAGGAGCTCTCAGAAGTATGTGGGATGTGTATAGATTTTGCCATTCTCAAGGGGAACAAGGAAAGTCAGAGTAGTAAAAGGAAAACTGGTAAGAAAAATAGAACAAAAGGACAACATCTGGGGCTCTGCTCCTGCTTTAAGTTGTCTGCATGATTAGAAAAAAAGCCATTTATGAATACTGCTGCCCAACAGTTCCAATATTGTTAAAAATGAGAATATTTCTGAAGTATTTTCCACTTCTGTGTCTAGATCAGCAAACTCTAATTTTAACTTAACGTAATGTATCAAACTTACCATTTGTCTAAGACTAGGAATCGCTCAGGAAACAAAAGTAGTATTAAAAAATAAAAAAGAATTCAGTGCATGTGTTCCTTTAATAAACATGTTATTAGTTACTTAGTTAACTCCAGCAAGGTGATGGACACACAGAAGCAAGGACATGAGACAAGATAAGCTTTATGGGAAATGCTAACAGAAGTCAATTACACCAATTCTAACTCAATCTGTACAAGAAACATGGTTATGGATTAAGGCTCATCTTGAAAAACACCAGTAAAATTTAATTAAAAAAATGAATTTCTTTACATTCTTGTTGCTTCTAACTAGAATATATTTCCCCTCTGTATTTTAATCAGAGTTTTCTTCAATGCAACTTTTATATCCCTGTTTCTCAAACTATAGATCAGGGGATTGAGCATGGGCACTATGTTTGTATAGAAAACAGAAGAAACTTTTCCCTGCTCCATAGATTCAGAAGAATATTTAAGATACATGAATGCTGCTGACCCAAAAAAAAGACTAAGAGCAATAATGTGAGAGCTACAGGTACTGAAAGCTTTTGATCTTCCTTCAGCAGATTTGATATGAGCAATGCTAGTGAGGATGAAGATATAAGAAATCAGGATGGTAAAACTGGGTACTGTGATATTAATTCCCACGACAATGAGAACTACTACCTCATTGACGTAGGTGCTGCTGCAAGAAAGTTGGAGGAGAGGAAGGATGTCACACAGGTAATGGTTGATGACATTCACACTGCAGAAGCTTAGTCTAAGCATGCACCCTGTGTGGGCAGCAGCTCCACCGAGTCCCATCACATACGCAGCAAGAGTTAGCATGGAGCAAACCTGACGGGACATGGAGACCTTATACAGCAGTGGCTTACAGATGGCCACGTAGCGGTCGTAGGCCATTGAGGTCAACATATAGCATTCAGAGATGACAAAAAAGAGGAAGAAAAACAGCTGAGTCATGCATCCCACATAGGAGATGATATTCTTCCTTGATACAAAGTTCATCAGCATCTTGGGGGTGAAAACAGAAGAGTAACACAGGTCAATGAAGGACAGATTGAAAAGGAAATAGTACATGGGGGTATGGAGGTGAGAGTTAAGGCTAATAAGAGTGATCAAGCCAAGGTTGCCCAACACAGTGACAATGTAGATCATGAGAAACAGATAAAAGAGGGGTTGCTGGAGCTCTGGGTGGTCTGTTAATCCAGCAAGAATAAATTCAGTCACTGAGGAGTTATTTCTAGCCTCCACTTTCATCTCCAGAAACCTATAAGAAGAGAAGAAAATTCCATTAATAGAGGACCCAGCTCTCTCCTCACAAACTCGCTGTGAGAAGTGGATTCAGAATTGCAGAAATGAAGTAAGTCCTCCTATGCATCATACAGTCTGAGTAGGCTGCCACACACACACCTGTTCTTTCTTTGTATGAGTTGCATGTAGGTGGAACGGGTCCTGTCTTTCCTGGAGTACAGAAGAGATGGAGGAGCTGAGTTACAAACCAACCTACTTAGAAGCTTCAGGAGTGGGTATACATCCCCATCTCTTCCCCCTATTCCTCTGATCCTGCACTTCCCAGTTCCTGCTCATGTTTCCACCACACTACCAGAAACCTCAGATCTCCTTCATGACCATCAAGAAAAAGAGGATTCCTCTGGGGCAGACAGCATGGGTAAATCTGCTTCAGAAAGGGAATTCATGATCATCTACAGACTTCCAGGTACAAGATTTCATGAGCCAGCAATTGTTACAGGTATTGAGGAGAGCCTGGGTAGCCTACAATTTATGCCTAACCATGCATTCCTGTGTTTCTACATGTTCCCCTCCTTTGCTCCATCCTAGCTGGACAGAGAATGAATAAAGGAAGGTGCATGAGCTTTACTTGGTTTTGCAGGAGGGCATGAAAGAGAAACATAATTAAATTGAGCACTGATTAAATTCCTTGTGAATGTTGTGAAAATCTATCATGCTGAATACTTACAGCATTTTAACTTTTCTATTTGTATAGTGTATTTCAGTTAAAAACTTTTCTTAAGAACGAGATACATCTGTTCTTCCTCTGACGCTTTCTTATCCTAGATATGTCACTTGCTATATCCAGGGTGTTGCTATATACTGACAGCTTCCTTGCTACCAGATGAGGATGATGCCACCACACAGAGGGTATGCTGACAAGAATGCAGGGAGTCAAGTCAGAGCTCCATACTTTGCAGTTTCTTCTTATTCAACGTACACAGTTCTCATTTCAGCAACAGTGAAAGGAAAATAGAAACGTGATTCACTCACTCATCTTCCTTTGAGACAACTTAGTGGTGACCCTTTCCATGCATTTCAATCTCCACTGTCCTGGAAGAAGAACTGGCTTTTGTGGTATCAAAGTCAAGTAGCTGCAGTCAGAGAATATTCTTCTCTCTTTATTAGCAAAAGAGTCATAGAATAGATCTCAAAGTCAGAATGTTCCAGGAGTCAGTCTGAGGTGAAACTCAAACTTGTCTTTATAAATTTTCTAAGAAACTATGAAGGGAAACCACAGACTTGACACCTGAGCCACCATGTCACAGAACACATGGCACTGGCTTAAAGCTTATATTTCTTGGGACCTGATCAGAAAGGCAGTTTTATTCTCCCCTAGGACCTTCCCATCATGATGAGCTCTACTGGGAAGAAGGTGGTGTCTATACTTAAACCCTAATTGCAACAGTAAATGTTCATAACCCATCAGGGTTCATACATTCCCCAGGGCATTGGAGGAGGAATCCTCTGCCATTCCCTAGGCAGGTACAAAGAATGGATGTCACTGAAAATTTCTTTAACTACTAATCTAGGTAACATATTAGTTTAAATTTATGTTCAAAACAAAACAGTAGTAGAGCCTTAGACACTGCAAAGTGACTAGTGGTAACAAGGTGAAGGAGTTGTGGCTGGTTAGGGGGGAGGTTGAAGTGGATAAATGAGCACAGTAATTCACAATAACAATATAAGTTGGACATGGGGACTGTAGTAGAGAATACAGAATATAGTCAGTGATTTGGTAACATGTTTCCACATTGATAGATAGTAACTGCACTAGAGGTGTGAGGGTTTAATAATATTGGTATACATTTGATACCAATATCAGATTGTCTATCAATGATACTTCAATTAAAAAAAAGATTTTAAGTTCATAAAGATTTATGAACATCTCAGTCAAGTATACATATTAGGTCTTTACAAAATATTTGAGTCCCTGTAAATAATCAGTGTTAATGCAAATTTTATAGACATAAGCAAAGGAATCTTTTTCATATGTTTCAGAGTTTATTGTTTAATAAAAAGTTATTTAATATAGGAATTATCCATTATTTCGTGGATATTTAGTTACTTTAAGATGTTGTAAGTCGATATGCCTTTACTTTTAATAGGTAAAATCACATCTATAGGAAAAAAATCACTATTAATATGCTATCAATTTCAGGAAAATATGGCTTAAATTTACAAAGTATGTATTAATGTGATGATTCTTCTAAAAAAGAAACTGTCTTTTTTTGATTTTGAAATTACTATAGGATCACAGGAAATTGTAAAAATAATGCACATGATCCCTTGAAATCCACCCACCTTCCTACCATGGTGACATCTTCAACAACTGTAGTAAAATAGCAAAGCCAGGAAACTGACATTGGTATGACTGTATGACAGGATCACAGATTCTATTCAGCTTTCAGCAGTACTGTGTGATTGTGTCCTGTGTCACTGTGTTTGTGCACCTGTTAATCTTGTTGTGACACAATTAGGGAACAGGACTGCTCCACTCCCACAGGGCAACTTCCTTACACCACCCCTTTATAGTGACACTCAGCCCCACATCCCCAGCCTTCATCTCTGTCTTCTGAAAACAATTAACCTGCTGACCATCGCTGTAGCAGGGTCATTTGGAAGATAACAAATGAAACTATCAAAATTCACAACCTCTGAAGAGTACATGAAAGAGTGAATGCACCTCTGTAATATCTATAAAGATTCCCAAATAGCACAGATATTATTTACTTACTGAGATACATTTGTTTTTCAATATGGAAAACAGTTTTGGCAAAACAAACTGTTAGTAAATTTAAACTCTGACCCAGATCAGCTATTGCATATATACAAACTAGATAAGTGAAAATCAAGTATGTTAATATTGGAGTCAGGGAATGTGAGGTCATTTAAAGCCTTAAGACAAAAATTTAGAAATACTAAATATCTAAAAAGCACACAAAAATCCATCAATCCAGCTTTGCCAAATTTCAGAATACCTAAATATTGAGTGGAAATTAGAAAAATAGTAAAATAGTAGATATTATTACAATTATCTGAGAACATTTAAACTGCCACTTAACATGTCATATGAAAGTTTTTGAGCAAAACCTCCTTTTCCCTGTTTGCTCAGGAGAAAAATAATCAACATCCAATTACAGAAAATACACTGAACAATTTATTTCCTTTACCACATATTTCTTTATTGTCATTCTCATTACTCTCCCGGCTACAATTTGAAGCTTTCGTACTTCAAAATCCACATAGTAGTAGAATATGGAAACCAACTAAAATAGGGCTGATACAGTTGTCCCAAAGTCCACCAGTTCGTGGGTTTATAGTCACATCAAATGACTTAAACTTTTATCCTATCTACAGATACCCTGTTATTCCCATACTATTTCTAGAGACTTTCAGAAAGGAGAGTCATAGAAAGGGCTTTGTTTTCTCATCAATCGACTTTCTATTCCTTCTTCATAATGAAATGTGATTGCCACTCACTGCTTAATCTTCCTTGAATCCTGTCTTCTCACTTCCTGAATCCCCACAAATACAGCCACAGCCATTGTTCGGCAACCATAAGACTATTAATGTGTCAATATGCATTATAAATTTTAATCAAAGCATTATGGATAGTGGAGGATAATTACAGAAGTCTCCAGAACAGGCAATAAATTCAGAATGAAATGTAGTTTCCAAAATGCCATAATTCTTTCTCTAATGAAGACCTTTTATTATTGTCCATGAGTCTCTTTGACTAATGGACTAATAACATGCTCTGGGGAAATAGTCAAGTATTTTTTCTTTTTTGCATAAAAAGACAGCTTTGAAAATAGAAATGTTTTATCATATTTCATCTTTACTAAAACAAAAATAAACTAGAAAGACAGCATACTAGAAAGAGTAGTTTTGAAATCAGGGGACTAATAGTCTGTTCTAGACATTTCTTCAAGAAGCTGTGGGACTTTAAACCATTACCCTGAGTTTCAGCATTCTACATATCTAATAAATGCACACTGACAATTTATTATGTGCTACTTTGAGTGTAGGAACAGAAATGAAATTTCTGCTAAAAGAATCTCAACACACAGTTTTCAGATACAAAGTGAGCAATATTTCATAATTTTTCATGGAATCTGCTGTAATTGTGAAAGACTGGCATGTGGAGGAGTCACATTTCTGCACATCAGAGGCTGGAAGAGTAGGGACAGATCACCTTATTCACACGTCCAACAGCATATTACAGGTGGCAGGTAAGTCACGTCACAATACACGAGGTCACACTAGTGTTACTTTATTGATCATTTGCAGACTCATCTTTTGCAAGAGAACAACAACCCTGAGAAGGAGAAAAAAATGATGAATTCCTTCCTTAACATTATTCGTAAAAAGGAATAATGAGAAAATAAGAAGAAATTATGAAACTCTTGATGAAAGGAACATCTACTTAAAATATTGGAAATGAATTTAAGGAAGAGTCAAATTTCCAGTGCGATGGTGAGAAAGAAATAGGATAAGAAATCTGCCACTAAAAATATTGTAAAGAAACATGCAAAATCTTCCTCTACTGTCACTACCAGTGCTGAGATATTGATCTGGATCTGAACTTTCTCCTGCTCAAGGTCATTCTTAGAGCAAGTTTAACATCCTTGTTCCTCAGGCTGTAGATTATGGGGTTCATCATGGGGGCCACATTGGTATAAAAGACAGAGGAGATTTTTCCCACATCCACAGATCCAGCAGAAGAAGGTTGGAGATACATAAATGCACATGATCCAAAGAATAAAGAAACAGCAATGATGTGGGAACTGCAAGTGCTGAAAGCTTTGGACCTGCCCTCAATGGAGCTGATGTGGAGGATGCTGGAGATGATGAAACCATAGGAGACAAAGATGGTGATACAGGGAAAAACGATGTTGATGCCCGCCACAATGAACTCCACCAGCTCATTGACATGGGTGCTGGTGCAGGACAGCTGGAGCAATGGAAAGACATCACAAAAATAATGGTTGATGGTGTTGGCATCACAGAAGGTCAGTCTCAGCATGCATCCAGTGTGGGCCATGGAACCAGAAAAGGCCATCAAGTAGGAACCAAGCATCAGGCTGGCACACACCTTAGGGGACATGGCAGCATTATACAAAAGTGGGTTGCAGATGGCCACATAGCGATCATAGGCCATTGATGTCAGCACATAGCATTCAGAAATGACAAAGAAACAGAAAAAACAGAACTGGGTCATGCACCCCATGTACGAGATAATGTTCTTCTTTGATAAGAAATTCATCAGCATTTTGGGTGTAAATACTGAAGAATAGCAGATGTCTATGAAGGACAAGTTCAACAGGAAAAAGTACATGGGGGTGTGCAGGTGTGAATTTAGCCCAATTAGAGTTATCAAGCTCAAATTTCCCAACTGAGTGACCATATACATTACTAGAAACAGGAAAAACAGGGGCAGTTGGAGATCTGGTTGGTCTGTTAATCCCAGAAGAATAAATTCAGTAACTGAAGAACCATTTCCAAAAGCCATTCTTCTCTAAGGGGATCTGTGGTCAGGGGAAAAAATGGTTGTATTAGAGGACAACTCAGTTTTTCCTGCAGTATCTCATCTGACATGAGAGTGTATATACTGGGAATAACGAAGAATAGCCCAATCTGTACATATAGAATCTGCTTTTACCATTAACACTATATTGAATGATACAGACAGAATCCTAATAATCTAGATAAGGCTAATGGGCATCACATATTTAAAGTACAGTGGTCAGTGCTACCATAGGCAAACCAGGTTACTGGAAAACCTAAGGGATAAGATAGAGGAAAGGTGGGCCAAGACAGAGCTTCCCTCTCTGATCTCACCATTTCTCATTCACTGAAGCCCTCCCCTCACCAGTAAAATTGGAGGCAGAGAATCTAGCAGCCTGGTGCTACCTCTATACACATAAACATTGTTGGACTGAGAACTAAGTAAGGACCAGAGTCTAGAGAGGCTGTTACTGCCCGTGCCAGGATAAAACCCATAAATGCAGAGTGAGAGGTCCTCCCATGGGGAGGGAACTTAATCTTAACCTGAGATTCTGCACCCCCGAGTCTCCTGATCTCTGAACATCATCGGACCCCCTCCAACACATGCTCCCAGCAGTTTCCCTTCAATCTCAGAACTTCAGCCAATGGGAAAGTGGCATATCTCAGATCTCGGGACACCCATCTCACAACAACAAGGACATTGACATAAACGGAATTCAGAAACTCACCTCACCCTCCTTCTGCCAGAAAACATCAGTGCTCCCGTATCTCTGGTACCTACCCTTGTCCTACAAAGGCAATTCCAGGCTTTGAGACTTTGGTTCTTTTAATTATAAAAGTATGCAGCCCAGACTTAATTTCAGATATGCCCTGGAAATCTTTCCAAACTACACACCGTAACTTCTCATTGTGACTTTGAGTCCTCACAAGCAGCAGAGCAAAATAAAACCTTTATTGTTATCACACTCCCACTTGGTAAGACACAGAAGATTGAATGTGAGTTTAATGATAAAGTGCACTTGCTTATAAACAGGGTAGAAGCTTACTCAGTCTCTTCCTTGGGGAATAGATTCTACATGTAAAAGAGAAATAAGGAGACTGTATTTACACTCTGGACCATGATCTGTCTCCGGTTCCTTAGGGACTCAATATTTAAGCTACTTTACACCTCGTTTTAGGATTGTAATTCCCCCAAGACAGAGGCAAATGAATTCCCTTTCTCCCGTCATCATGTCTTAAGGAAAATCTTACTGTAGACATTTTTATGTCGTTTTTCCCACACTCGAAATGGAAATTTTACAGAGTCTGACTACTACAGTCTTCTTGATTTTGTCACCTGAATATTCAAAAATTGTACCAGCTCAATTCAGCTGTTCTCTCTCCTGGTTCTCTCACCCACCCTGCAAAAAATATTGATGCCTTTCTCCCTTTTAAAGTTTTTGTTATAAACACCTCCTGCAAATTTCTACCTGAGGGAGCTGCTGTGTCATTAAATGTAACATTTCATTAATGACCTCATTAATTCAATCTCAACATAGAAAAGACTTGGGGATATGGAGACAGAGGACATGTATTTGAGAACAAATCCATGATTACTAATTTGGACAAGCTACCTAATGGCTCTTATGCCTCAGGTTCACAATTTCGAAAATACTGATAATTGTAACATCTCTTTCATTAGGTTGTTTTGATGATTATGAAAAGAATATACATAAAATGTTAGAACAGTACCTGGGCTGTGGTAAACAGTAAAACAATATCCTTATTTACATATGCAAAACTAACAGTGGATAGACCATCATGACACGCTTCACACATTTTTTTCTCTTTAATACTCATGTTCCCCTATAAACTGTAAGTTATATGAGGATAAATATTCTACTTTGTTTTTGATTCTTCTCGTAGTACTGTGTATAGCGCAGAGTACACAGCAGGTATTCCATAAGTAATTCCATAAATTACATTTTTCTTCGGTGAAACCATTCAGTGTTTCCCACTTTTCTCACATGCTAAGTACTACAGAGTCTACACCGACACTGACTTCTGTCCATAGCCCTCAGCCACCACACAATTTCCGGTCTTTTTCAGCTTTTATGCAAACTGTACTGATAAACTGTAATCCTCCTATTATCTTAGCTTTTTCCCACATACTCCCTCTTACATGGCCATATCCACTGATAAGATAATAAGCTCTGAAAGCACAGACTTGTCCTCCCTAATTAAAGAACTTTTAGTGGTTCACAACCCAATGAAGAACTAAAACTTTATAATAAAATTCTAAGTCTCAAACTTCTGATTAAGTTTTAGATAAAATTAAGGTAGATATCACGTAAGAGTTAAACTTGATAGAAAAAAATAGAATGAAAGCATTATTCAGACAGATACAAGTGTTTTGAGCACATTAAGTGTTGTGCAAATTTTTTTTCCCATATACAAAAAGAAAACATTGGAGAATATTTACATTTGAGAGATCATTATAAGACTATAATGAACAAAAAGCACTGGACACATGAACTGAAGAATATTTTTAAGATTTATGTATAAATATGCTCATACTTTCTATATTAAATTAGTTTTTCTCTTCAGTGTTTACTAGACAACTGTAAATTATCCCCCAAGAGTCTATTAAAACAACATACTACTTAATAATTAAAACAATTATTAATATAAAATTAATTAATAAAGTTCGTTAAAATAATATAGTATTTAATATCTCAGGAATATAGGCTTTAAATCATGTTAATTAGAAAGTTTCTACTTTCAGGTTACAGAATGATCAATTAAAAATTCGTAAGAGAGGTTCTTATTCTTCTCATATACTAATAAATCCGGACCTGCAGTGTCCAGGGTTGGCTCAAGAAATAAACACTCTCAAGGACCCAGGCCCTTCCATTCCACTCTCCTCAGACTGTTGGCCTTTGTCCTTAAGCTGTTCACCTTATGGTCACAAAATGACTGCCATCGCTCTGAAAATCACATTTAAAAGCAACTATTTTCAAACAAAGCAAGCAAGACAACAAGGCAGAAGAACTCACCTCCCGTCTCTCTCTCCTACTTTCTCATGAAGAAAAGCTTCTCCACAAACCAACAGATGGCTTCCCTCTATATCTCCTCAGTCAGGAAGGACTTTGCCACATGGCTAATGGAGTTGCAATGTGTATGTACAAAAGAATATTTCTAAGCATTTGCAAAGCTGAGTGAGTCCACCAGAAACTGAAAAAGTTCTTCAGTTTTGGAAAATTGATTATATTAAGTTTTATATATTTATCTTCACTTTTCAGAGTTTCTCCAATGGTTATCTTTTAAAAATTCCAGCAAAAAAAAAAAAATGTTGTTTGAAAGTGACAAAAAATATAAAAGTACGGTCCTGGGGAGACAGAAAAAGTTAGCACTTATTCTGAATGGCTAGATGCAACACATTAGGTTTAGGAATCAAAGAGAGGTAAATCTGAGAAGTATGAAAAAATTTACAGGGAAAGACCAGTAGAGCATTCTAATCTTTTTCAGGTATTTTCTCTCCAAAATATTTTGAGTACATTATTTACATGATTCTGTGAATACTAAAATCAGTCTACCAAACTTTTAATTGAAGGAAACTTGCAAATTCTCACAAAATTTAAATATATAGCACCTCACTTTTTTAACACTAATTATGTGTTTATACACATATTTCAATAACCATGAAGACTTCAAACAAAAGTTGAACTAGGTAGTGACTGTACACAGTCCAATTGCCCTGATTGGACTAACTAAACTATTTACCAACTTACGTATCTCATACTGTTGGACTAGGTTTTGGGGGCCACTTGAGGAAAAATATAGGCATAAATATTGAATAACCTATTTTAGCAATACTTCATGTCCTGGGTAGAGATGATATTGATTTGTTTTCATTATTTATTAAACTATAAATGAATGTTCTGTGAACTTTTCAATATTGGGTTATGTTTGATTGTAGAATAGGAGAAATCAGTTTTTTCAATATATCCCATATTAACATAACTCAAACATTATATTTACAGTGAAAACAAAATTGTGAAGATTCTACTTATTAGATAATATTTGCAGATAAAATATCTTCATAAACCTTAATGATAATCTGTGCTTTCTTCTGGAACATATTTTTTTCTATCAACTTTTGTGAATTAAGCAGCAATTAAAGAACAAGAATTCTTAATAATTATAACCATAATTTTTTACAATCACCATAAAAACAATATTCAATATAAGATTAACAGTCTTAAATCATTTATAAAACCACCCAAAAGTTTACACATGAAATCATTCAAATAATATAGGAGCTTTTTTCTTTCATTGAGAAAATTGGTATTAAACTAATCTGAACCAATTTCATATTTTTATTCAAACACTTCAAAATAGCAATGAAGTCCTAATTTGCAGAAGGCTTCTGAATTCTCAAAGCAATTATACTAGCTCAGATCCTACTAAGAGGAGACACCCCTTCTGCTACAGTCCTAAGCGGTCAAAGATTCTGACAATGAAAGAGTCAGAAAAAAAAAAAAGTCTGTTTTTGACAAGGTGAAAGGGGTATTCCAGGAGCAGGTCACTATTTCTATTTGAGAATTTGCCATGAAGGTCCCCTTCACTTGCAAGGACAGAAAAAACCATATATGAGCTCCAGAAAAATCATTTGACCCAAATGAGTATCTCTTCCTAGCCCCGTAGCTCTAGGAAAATTGATTAGAAGAACAGAAAATACTCTCTCTCCCATAATCTCTTTCCAAGCAAAAGAGCCCAAGGGTAGAAATTAGGGAGCCTGTGTTTCTGTCCTGGGTCACAGACCTGCCGTTGGATCCTTGGAGACTCAATGGTCTACGCACTTTATAATTTCACACCAGGAGTTCCTACTCCCCAGGGCAGAGGGATGAGTGCCTCGCTCTGTCGGTTCCTTCATCATCCCTGGAGTCCATGCACAGGTCTATAAAGGAGGAAGGTCTGGGGCATGGTCATTTGCCATTTCTAGCACTTTTCAAAAGCTTCTGGGATGGCAA